GACAAGATACCTTGGTTCCAAAGCAAAGTGCTCATTGGCATATTCAATGGACCGAACAAAAAAACTCGATCTAAGGACCCACTTCAGTTTCTTTTTTAATTTTAGTCAAAGTTTTGCGGCACTTGCAACACAATAAGGTCATCATATAGAAGTGCCAAAGATAAGGTGTTACAAAAGGGTATCAAACACAAAAAAGGAGGGGAGATGAGAACAATACATGCTTGAGGACGAGACAGAAGGAGCAAACCACACCAGAGCACCCGCCAACCAGTCTGTCCACAAAGGGGGCTGGTGCCCCACAAAAAAAAAACCCCACCAAAGCTAGGACACAACGCAATGAGAGGGATATTATACTTATAACAAGCACAAGCGGGTGTAAAGCTGTGCAAAGCCGAGCCAGACTTCACACTTACAGCTGCCATGTACTAAATTGTAGCTTCATCTCGACTGGAATGCTTCTTGACCTTTAAAAACCATTGTCAGTACCATAGACTTTGCAACATTCTTCAAACATAAAGAGCAAAGTCAATTCTGTGTGTATTACTACTACTACTACTACAACTGCTGCTGCTGCAGCTATCAGCAAAACAGAAACAAAAAAAAATACCGATCAAATCCTATAAATACAGTAGAGTCGTAAAGATTTTTACTGGCAGAACATAAAACCCCCTTGTTATAAAAAATTCACTCCTTCAAAATGGTATTCTTTTCTGTACGACTTCTAACAAAATGAACCAATGATAATACAGAGAGAGTAAGTATGAATATAAACTCTTTACATCACAACAAGAGCAAAAGATGCAGGTTTGATTTGAAAAAACTAAGAACTACACAAATATATCACTAAAAAAATATAAAACCTTAACAAAATATCTATAAAGAATCAGAGCTGGAAAAAAGTAACATTCCATTCATTCAAATCCAATTTAAGCTTAACATCATTAAAAATGAATTGAATTACCCCAGAATGTGAAGGAAAAATGCTTTAAAAATCAATTCTTTTGGCAGACAGTCTACAACCTCTATAAGAAGTGGGAGTCCAAAAAAAGAAATCAAATAACTTTTATGGATTCTGCTTCTTACAAATATATGACAACAGCATATAACCTCCGTCAAGCTTGAATCAATACAAGCTTTTAGACAACACACACCTGATCAACTATTTATTTGCCGTGAACATTCATACCATTGACAACAAAGACAAAGCAAGACACAACCAAAGTTCAGAATGCACAGCACACTAGAATCAAAGCCACCTCAAGGAGAACCGAGAGAAGAGAAAAAATGGCTGGCCAAAGAACGGATAAAGTCTAAACTATAAACAGACCACTAGAACCTTCTGGAACTACCTCTGCAGATGGGAGTGTGTGACGCATTTGTGATTTACCCAGTCACTGAAATCTTACTGAAAGGGAACAGCTCCAACTCCAAGTCCAAATAACAAAAATGGCCTTTTACGTTTCATATGACACAAATTAGCCTTATGTCATTTTGCTTACTATTACTGGTTTAAAAAGTTGAGCTTTTGATTTTAGCAGAATACACCCAAGAAATTTAAAGCCTTCCGTACGAAAAAAAAAATGTTCACTTTATTATGCTTGATGCACAGATCAGAACTTTTTTTTCTCTCCCTGCACACCAGGGTTAGACATCTTCAATGACCCATTTGAAAACTCCCCCCCCCCCACCCCCATCCCCACACACACACACAGATAGAAGATCAAGAACAAAAATATAAAGAGAAGAAAAACACCCTTTTTCCTTGCCAACAAAAGAAAAAAATGAGCACACCAAAACCAAATGTGTAAGGTTAAGACAGACAGTACAAAGCATTACATGGCAACACTTACGAGTTATGTCTGAGGGTTTTGACATGAGGCAGGGGTTTTGTCCAAGGAGGGTTTTTTTTTTTTTTTGGTCTATTTACAAAATATACAGCCTTCTTTATATAATACGTAGATCATTCAGAAAATATGACACTGAAAAAAATTGAACATTATCAGGAATAACTTTTCTGAACAAACGAAAACAAATGGTTTTAGGAACAAAAAAAAGAAAAAAAAGAAAAATTTTAATTCTAGGAAAACACTCATCATACACATTGGTTCATGTTTCTTCTTGAAAACAAAACATTTCAGATCTGCATTTTTGCACAAAGTACGGTCACTGACCCACAAACACAAAGTTAGAACTCGTGTTGAATCCTCTCACTGGTCCATTTTTCATTTATCCCGATGTAAGTGGACATGAGTCACAAAGGAGTTCACAGTTGAAAGAACGGACACATCCACATGAAATAACTTACCCCAGCTTAAACTTAAACACAAGTTTCTTCGGTGCATAAAAGAAATGAAAAAAAGCATTACAACTCAACCCACAGACAGATCTAAACGTCTACCAAAATATTATGTATGATAACAGTATCAAATATAGGTAAGTATTATGATGCATCCCAAACGTCTGATAGAGCACACCCTCCTTCACTTCATATAGTCTTCACAACAACAGGTGAGGCTTATGCACGTATCTCTCTCTCAATATATATATATATATATTTATATATATATACATGAATTGTACAGGAGCACAACATTTACTTTGAAGTAAAAAGAAGAAAGGACATTGTATCGATTCATTTACTTTCATTATAAACTGTAAAATTTGCGTATTATAAATGGTTCGGTCACAATGCAATCCACAAGCCACCTGTGCCCAGAACATAGCTGTAAAAATGTCAAAAGCAAGGGGGACATTATGACATCAAGACATTCCTCAATAACCTCTACGACGAGGTTATGCTTCACATTTATCCGCAACAAGTGCCCACACACTCTCACACACACATTAACTCGCCGCTATTAAAAAAAATATTAAAAAATACAGGCATAACTCTCCAGTAAAAAGGGCCATTGCCTTTCCTCCCTATTCAGTTTCCTACTCCCCCACATTACTACTAGCAGATCTTCAGGGGTCAATTTTTATTTTTTAAAAGGCAGTCGGCTGAAAACAGCTGCACTGAAATTTAAGGAATACCATTTTAGATTTTGGTAAAACTCTACCTTAGAAATACAAAGTTTTATCTGCTCAGTACCTAGTTTTGAGAAATTTGACGTACAAAATTTTACATAGCACAGCAAGTAAAGCCTTTTCGAATGCAATTCTTTGAATATCTTGATAATGATTCCACATAATCTTACAATTTTGATCGAACAGATAAAACATTTAGTTTCTGAACTCATGGATTTCAAAAAGGCCAAAAATGTCAGATAGAACTTTGTAATTCCAAGGTAGTGAAAAATAAATGTAATGAACAAAGAATAGTAACTCTGTTCAGATGAAAATTGGACAACAAAGCCTAGTATTCATCTCTGCTGATAAAGAAGAATTAATGTTTGATAATGTTCGCACAAGTCTCAAACCTTTGAGTAGAATTCTTTATAATTCAACACAGACACGTGGCAGGAAACTTCAACCACAAAAAGTTACAACTTGGTTTTCACTAGAAGATATACTATAATAAAAAATCTTTAAAATCTCATACAGCACAAGGAGAAAAGAAGTTTTGATCTCAGGCTTTTATACCTAATAAAATGCATGACTGCATTTTGAAATGATATGCATCTTTCGAATACTGACGACAAAATCCATTATATCTTCCAAAAGTATTACATCACACCACACACCCTCATCCCCCACCACCTTCTACAGTCAACATAACATGAGACAACGAAATTAGACTCTCCACACACCCAACACTTAAGTCAGTAACGCTAGAGATTCTTGTAAAATTTGTCGCTGCCTCAGGACAGATGTTTCTGCACTCACAGGCACTCAAACACATACAAGCATGCACGCATGCACACACACAAAAACACATACACAGACGCCATTGAGCAGTCCGAAAAGATGACATCCATGAGGCGATGATAACAGAAGGGTGATGGCGGAAGTGTGAGAAGAGAGAGACATAACAAAGAACTACGAAGAACGACCTCATGACTGGTAAAGTTCTGTCAAAGTCAACTGCCTCACGCAAGTCAGGCCAAAAAGTCAGGTGTGGAGGAAAGAAGAGAGACATTTTTACCTCCTTTCTAACTCTGCAGCATGATGCTGTTCCTTCTCCACCACCACCATTAAATATACATCGCAGATCTCAGCTCCATTTCAACGCAGAAAGTTTCCACTCACAATTTAAGACAGAAATACATTTATAATGCCTTCCAGACATCTTAGCTTCCCCGACTTTTCTCATGGCACCTGTTTAATAGACAAGACTCACAAAACTAGCACAGTACACGCAGATAAAAAACACTTGCAAACTTTTCATGATAAAACCTGTGAATGTTGGTTGAATTGGTGTTCTTTTGACAGTTCGGCTTCTAGATTCTAGCTCTTCTTTTTATCTGGAGGCATCATCCTTCCCTCACAACAAGAATAAAGAATACATGGTCCAACTCAGAACTGTATCTCATAGCCCATGGAGACGAGTCATTCTTGTCCAAAGCATGCATGTTGGGTAATCACTCTGCACGTCTTTGTCAAGGAGAGCCCATCATTACAGATGACTTCATGAGCAGAATTACTCATCACTCGCAGCTGCATTATGTAGTTCCTTCAAGGACCTACGATTTAAATGCCCATTGCACCCACGGGTTACCAGTCGCAGATTTTATACCATATTCAGCACGACTCGATTGTATCGACAGATACTCGATGCCAACTCACGGTCAAATGTGGACGGCATGCTAGCCTGGCTCTCTCCCCCCACTCCTTCCCAAACACTACGAGCCAAACTGATGCATGCAACGGGACATCAGCCACTGCCACTTTTGCTGTGGCCACCAGCAGGGAACCTCAGTGTCTGGAGCCAACAGTCATTCATCGTGTGGCATAAATCAGAAAGAGAGAGAGAGAGAAAGATTGTCATTCACAATTCAGTCTCTGAGCGCATGCAGGCTGAGGGCATGGCTGTTCCCCTATTTCATCAGTGTCATCCCCAAGTCTGAAGTATACAGTTGCATGTCTCACTTTGCACAACTCGTTCAGAGAGAGAAAAAAAGTCAGTCATATGACGTGGCGGCCTGCTCATTGATGCATGCTGTAGATACGATTGTCACCCTTATCCTGTCCGGGTTCCCGCCGGCCCTGATTCCACTGGCCTGCATCAAAGTTCTGCGGCCCACGCAAGTCGGCCATGCGCATCTCCATGGCCTTAGAGGCGCTGTACATGAAGCGCGAGGCGTCCACCTGGTTGTAGTTGAGCAGCGAGGGCTCAGAGGCCAGGGAGAGGCGGGGCCAGCCGGAGGACGCCGACCACGAGTGGTGCAGAGACTGTTCGGGCGTGCCCGGTGGCTTGTAGTGCATCGTCTGCTGCACATCCGAGCCGTTGCTGGCCGGGCCGCCCCCACCGCCGCCCGAGTTCACCCCCGAGGTGGGGCCCGGCGTGTGGAGCTGCCGGTTCAAACCCGACATGTAGTCGGGACCACCGCCACCTCCGCTACTACCGCCACCCCCAGATGGGTTCATGCCTCCCACCTGTTGCTGCTGCTGCTGCTGCTGCTGCTGATTCTGCCACTGCAGCGGGGGGCCTCTGCCGTCTGGGGTCGGGGTTGGGGTCGGTGTGGGCACCGGCCCGGGGGTAGAGCCGTCTGGCTTGCTGGACATCCCACCCTTCTCACCACCGTGACCAACCTGCTGGCCCCCCGGTCCCATACCATGGGGGCTGCCCACCTGAAGCGGGTGCCTCACCACCACCGACTCGGAGACAAACTGCTGCGGGATGTTGGGGATGGTTTTGCCCCCATACACCCCGCCTCCCGCCGCCCCGGCACCAGACGCGCCAAGGGTGTCATCGTCCTTCTTCACGCCCCCAGCTCCCCCGTAACCATCCCGTTCCAGATCCATCTGTTCTGTTTTCATTCCCAACGCCAGCTGGTTCATCAGCTGTGCCCGCTCTCTCTCCGCCTTCTTCTTCCCTCGGCTGGAGCTGCCCCCTCTGTTCTTACTGCCCCTGGGCCTTCCACGGGTCGGGGTGGTCAGGATGGTGCTGGCCTGTGCAGAGAGGCCGCCCGGGCCGTGGCTTGGGCCCGCCACTCCCTGGGGCAGCGGGAAGGTCATGTTCTTCATCTGGCTCAGGTCCATGTTGGAGAGCTTCAGCCCGTCCGGGCCCTCCTTGGCGTTGTAGTCGTACGGGAACCGCAGCCGCATGGGCGAGGTGCCCTTCCGCTTCTTGCTGCCTTCCTTCGGTTTGTTCGGGTTGCCTCCCTTGCCTTCCTCGTCCGAGGTCAGGTAATCCTCCGAGCTGTGAGAGTCGTCCTTGCTGGCGACGCTGATCGGAGAAGAGGTGAGGCCGTCCGCCCGCAGGGTCCCGTCAGCGCGAATCGACAGGTTCACATTGTTGACTGGGGAAAAGGTAGCAGCAGTCAGGTCAGGGGTGGTCAGTACTGAAAGCAGACCAGAAGACAGAGAGAGATGCTACAGTAAACGTGGAACACCATCAACACCTGACGTTTCCCATTCTAGTCCTCAGGAAAGTTGCCTTTCTGTTTAGACTCATTTATTTCCAACCTTTGCCTTTCCTCCAAAAACACAACCCTTTTACCATTACTGTAGAAAACATAATTTCTTCATAACACAAAGAGCCTGAAAGTTTGAATAGGAACCAAGAACCCCTCGATTATCATTACCAAAATATGCCCGGCACCTGTATAAAAACATAACCCAGTACTCAGAGCGCGTCAGTACAAAGGGCTATAGGAACAGCGCTGGTAAGACACTGTCCATCATCTTCCGGGACAGGACCATTGAACTCAAATGTACTGACTAAAGCACCAGTTGAATTCGAAAAACTATCATCAAAATATCCCAAATGACATTACAGCTTTCAAGATCTATTTTACATTATTTTGTGCATTGAATTACCTACTGTTCCACGAAGGCCATTCACGTACAAATCTTTAAAAATTGATTGTTCACTGTTCAGAATAAACAAAAATTGAAACCATCATCTACAGCTACATCTGAGCAAAGCTGGCCTACACAGAGGTCAAACAGCAGACAAAGGAAAGCGTAAAGCAAATAAGGGGCTTTCACAAACATCATGCAGGAAAACCAGATTTATGGCAGAACTACACTGATATGTGTTCGCTTGTTTGAGCAAAGAGAAGCACATCACCACAATAGCAAGCACTTACTGAGTGCAGGGAAAAAGGAAGACGGACATGATCAAATAGAAGGAAAGAACAGAAGTAGGACCTGTAATAGGTAGGGTCTCCAACCACCCTTTTATACTTGATAGGACATTAAATGTTTGGCTTCACAGATCAGGTGTGCATGGCGCACATTTAAAGATTCCTTAGGGGTTGAAAACGTAGGCAAGCAGATAATTAGGCCCCCCACCCAGGCAAAATTCAAAATGTTGTCATTCCCTACCATAAAGAATATCCCTATCACACCTGTAAATAGTAAAACACACCCTTACGCCTTCCTTGATTCCAAACGTATTGAATATGTCTCTCTATTCTGACAAAAGGGAAATGGCACTTTGGCAATCTACTTCCCCTATGTCTACTACGCAGGCAAAGCTGCATTATGCAAACTGCTTTCATCATCAACGATACAGATGGACATCCGAAGAAGATGAAATGTTGGGGAGTTCAAAGACAGGGCACAATACTACCAGTATCTGTTCAACAGTTTTGTCGATTTCAATGTCTCTTAACATGATCATTTCTCCATTAATCTGCCCCTTATCACTGATTTCCTTTATGCTACAAATGTCAAAAGATTACTGTTCTATCATACTCTATCACACAATGGCAAATACTGTCTACTTTTCCCTCCCATGGGTTAATTTCTTGACATTATTCCAAACCTTTCCACTTTTTATTACATCACTGTCAGTCGCTCTTACCCATATTTCAATAAAAGGTAGCTTAAAAGAATGATCAACCCATGGCTTTAAACAATAATCAACCCAAAACTATACTTTGATTCTCTTTCAAATAATACCTATAAAATATCTAGACATCATACTGACAAAGCTACCAAATAGAAATTTACGGAAGCATAACAAGGTGAAAAACATTTGCTGTTCACCAATTTTCTCATCAGATCATGATCATGGTTACCATTAAGAATCCACTTTTAACATTCAGCCATTACATTGTACACCCTCAACCCTTCTCGCCCCAATAAGAGATAGCTTAAATTTTTAGTGAGCCAACCACCCTTTAATGTGTATGGAAGCATATCTGATAACCCTACTTCCTTTATCAGTCCTTCCAACAATTCGTTAAAAGTGAAGATCACTAACAAAATGATGGCATCTCCTTTCTGATTTGAGAATTTGTTTACCAGAATTACTAATTAATCAGTGCTTTTTGTAGGAGTTACAAAACACATACACACACACAAGGAATACAGCATAAACCGCACAGCAAAATAAACCCACCAAACAAATAACAAAGGCAAGATAAAAAAAACTTGTTCATGGAGCCATGGCATGTAAACTCTCAAAACAATTTATTAATCAGAGAGCCCTAAAAATATAATGAGGGGAGAAAAATGCTCACCAATAATCACAAGATCTAAAATAACAGTTAAGTTAGGAGAAGGGCTTGTTCCCTTTCTTGTTCTGAAAAAAGAGGGGGTGGGGGTGGGGGCCTATTTTTTCAAAGTTGCTTTTTTTCTAAACTCATCCCACTTTGATCCCTTGAAACCTCCTGTTATGCATGCTGATTGCCTCTAGCCCAACATTTCACAACAGTTTCACTTTTAGTATGGTTCACTGTGGGGAATTTCCCATTACTAACAAGAAAGGAAACCTCATACAATAAACATTATCACTTTTTGTAACTTTAAAAAATCTCATAATTCTATGATGTCTGATTGCCTTTAGTACACATTACATTTCAAAATGTATTCAGCATTGTTCAATTACACACCTTTTCTATGGCAGGAAGCTATTTTCAGAACTACGCATGCTTAAGGCATGATTATGTGAAAGAAAGAAATGGAAGGGGGAGGGAACTACATACATTCCTCACCATGGCGCTTCATGTGTTTGTCACGGTGGTGCGCACGGAAGAACATCTTCTCGCAGAACGGGCACTTGAAAGTGCGGTGGTACTCGCCCGTGTGCGTCTTGTAGTGGCGGTCTAGGTGTTGCTTGCGGGTGAACGCCTTCCCACACTCGGTGCACGCGTATGGTTTTTCGCCTGTGTGGGTCATCTCGTGACGACGCAAGTGGTGGCTGGAGGAGACACAGCAGAACATACACACATTTCACACGTGGTATAAGTCGTGCAAAAAGTTGCAGAGAAACCTCAACAAAAGAAGAATTAATTTAAATGGGGTAAGTTATGTATCAGGTGTATTATGTTCTTAACGCCTATGTGGTCTCTTGATACATTTTTGGAAAACAAAAAAACTAATCAGTTAAAAAATCCCAAACCTGATTGTAAATGATGCTAAAGTGAACTTATAGTCATTTTGACATGATTCATGGTGCAAGCTCAGACCCCTGGTTTTTATCGAGGATCCACAGATTAACCTTGGTAATGATTTTAGGAATTTAACAATTGGGAAAAAGTAAACCTATTTCTCCCAGTTACACAGTTAATATACAATACCACTGATCCTTTACTTTTTACTTTTTCATCCTCTAGTCCCGTTGAGCATGGAAGGGAGATGCATTATCTTAAGAGAGTCTCTTTTCTCATTTTTTAGTTTTAGTTTTAGTAGAGGTTTTACAGCGCTCGCAACTGCATAAGGTCATATGAGCGCCAGAAGATTAGAGGTGTTACAAGAGAGTAACAAACACAAAAAAGAAGGAGGGGAGATAAAGACGATAGATGTTTGATAGGAAAGAAGGAGCAAACCACACCAGAGCACCCGCCAACCACCAACCTTTTCTCATTTAATGTACTTTCCCATCAACAGAATACTCATTATTTTATTTACAAATAACTCGGGTATAGGATCATTATCAAAAAGGATGGAAGAAAGTGCAAGACGAAAGACTAACTAGCAAAGAAATCAGAGGTACTGTCATGAAAACTGACAAAAATTCCATCCACTGCTCTCACAACAGCGAGATGGCTCGTATGACTATTCAGATCCTAAGGTTCACGGAACAGAATGAGAGTAAACACGACAATATGAAAGAGGCAAACAAAGGCCCAAAAATGAACATTTCAAAGCCTTGTCCACAAGCTTCCTGTGGAAACTGCACCTCTTGACTCTTTATCAGTTGAAATTTTACAACTTGCACAAATTACACTCCCCTTTCCATAAGGGACAACCCACCCATCCCCCCCCCCTCTCTCTATGTGCAAAAAAAGTAATGCTCATTATGGTAAACAAATTAAAAGTGACCCTGCTTAAGCACTTTCCCTAAAAGACCTAAAACCTAAATGACTCTTTAACAACTATATAAAGAGACCTAATTACATACTTTTACTTTAGGGGGGGGGAGGGGGGAGGGAGAGAAACAGATGTAACGAACAAAATCGACTTACCCATTAAGGAACAGAACCTATAACCCACCTTCTACCCATCGAAACAAATCGTAAACAAACAGCTATCTACCATCCCTCCCCTGTCAACGTGTAAAGACAGCATTATGTGAGGCATGAGATGAAAGCAATGCAATCAACCTGAGGTTTGTGCATGCAGGGTCACACACGCCCTAGCCTAACTGAGCATTCTAACCCATACCAAATTTAGAAATCAATATACTTCTCACAAATATTTGTCTCAACAGCCCACTTAACAGTACACTTACTCTGGAAAAAAAGAACTATCCTTCCATCTACAATCTAAAAAAAAAAAGAAGTTTTATCCATTATCCCTGCAACTGGCTGGTCATTTCAACTGACAATTTGTGGAAAGACAAGGAATTCAGAAAAACACCGCCACTGAAAAGTGACATAGCAGTAGAAGTTAAGTGAATATGAAAAAAGAGGAGGAGAAAAAAAACCTCAGATAAAGGCCAAGATCAAGGAGTGTATAAATAAGATAGAACTGAACTTCCAAATCAAATACTACCGTTTCGCTGCCAAGAAACACACCCCTGAGATAAGACACTATATTTAAAACTCTGTTTGGAAGTATGAAGCAAACCTTTATCAAATTTTATTATATTGCCACTCCCAAACAAATTTTTGGCTGCTTTTCATCTCAAAGACAATAATCTTCATCCCAGCCAAATCTTTCTTCATGAGACACTAGTATACTTGGGCTAACATTTGCCTTTTTCCTTATCTCTAAGGCTTTCCGAGTCCAAACACAATATCATTCAATCTTTCTACTAGCACTGCTTCCTCCCACTTTCCATTCTTTCATTATAACTCCCTGGAAGATTTTCATCTTTTTTACAATTCAAAAAGCAGATCCCAGCAGTTGTCACATTTCCCAAACTTCTCATGACTTCCCTTTCCATCCTCGGCCATGTGCACTTTAATAAAATGTGAAAGAACTGACAAAAGAACGACAATCCCGCCATGATTTGGGAACTAAAATAGTACTGAAGAGAGAGAGAGCTACAAGAGCAAGAGCATGACAAGGACCTACACCTTCCCAGTCAACCAGCACCAAACGAGTACGCAAGAAAATAAAGTGAAGAGGAATATGAGAGGGACGAGGAACTACGTCTCTTTCTGGTCTATCTAGCAGCAACCCTGCAGGCCAAACAAACCTTAAGTTGAAAGCCTTGCCGCAGATCCCGCAAGTGTATGGTTTGGTGCCCGTGTGTGTCAGCTCATGGCAGCGCAGGTGGTGGCTGTGGGGGGGAAGATGGCAAAAAAAAAAAAAAAAAGAGTTGGACGAAGATGAAAATAAATATATATATAATGACAAACATAATCGCGCTCACCTGTGAAGGGAAGATGCCATTTTAAAAAATGCATGGGAAGATGAGGAAAAGGAAATAGCATAATTTCACTCAGCTGTGGGTAAACATGACAAAGACACCTCAGGTGATGATGAAAAAGGAAATACATCCAAGAAACAAGTTCACTCAGCTGTGGGGGTGGAAGTTGTCAAAAGTGTGTCCATGAAAATGATGAAAAAGAAAACATTTTCTCTTACATGTGAGAACAAAAGAAAAACGGGAACAAGAGGACAAAGCTGATTCGACAACACAGAGACCAAAAGAGTTAAATAAGAAAAACAGGAAGCAACCTCATTCAAAACAGAGAAGGGAAAAAAAACAGAATGTTGAGCATTTTAGAAAATGAAGAACGGAAATCAGATGTATTAATGACACTTTCACAATTAGCATAGATTTAATTTGGGAAGCAGAACAAAAAGATGAATAGCAGCAGTGATGCAATGATACAGCAATGAAGCATAAGAAACTACAAAAGGAGATGGATGGTCAGAGAGAGGGGAGAGAGAGAGAGAGAGCCCACCAGCCAATCACAGGTGAGGACAATGCGGAAGCGAGCTTGCTGCACAAAACTGCCGAGTCACTCACCTGCGACGGAAACTGTGGCCACAGATGACGCACTTGTAAGGGCGCTCCCCTGTGTGTATGCGCACGTGCCGCCGTAAATACTCCTTCTTGGCAAACATACGGCCACAGAAGTCGCAGCTGCAGGGCATGTTGGGCCCGTGATGGCTGTTGGGGTTGGCATGACTGCAGCAAACGTGAGGGGGAGGGGCCACCGTTACAAGTAGAAGGACAACTTCAGAGGAGGGACATTTCACTCTCAGAAACAACAGGTCAGGCTACTACTACTTGCATTATTTTCATTCAAGGAATAGTAAATGATATTTCTTACCATTTCCCTCACTTCATGACATGTGCAATGATAATAACAAAGAAAGATTCACTTTGCACGTAATTTGAAAGGAGAAACAAAGAGTAAAAACATAGCAGTGTGAAAGAAGAATCGTTCAAGGACAATACAAATGAAACAGCTACTGTATTTGCTTCCACTTTCTAAAAATTCTGCACACTCTAGAAATAAGTGTGTGAAATCTGCAGAAACATAGAATCAAACATTCACTTCAATTCATTCAACAAGTGTCATATTTGCAACAGACATCAGCGATCACACTTCACAATTCATTCCTTGCTCAGATGCTTTCAAACAATATTTATCTTTATCTTTCTCCATCAAGCATCTGTTGAGGTTCTCCAAATAAGTTTCTCTTGGTCTACCCCTGCCCCACTAGCCTTCAATGTTATCAGTGACAGTAAGATGTTCAAGGCCCTTCTGTCTGTTCAAGTGTCCAAAAAAATGTGAGCAGACCATGTGGGCTTCTTCAAGTACTACTTCATTTGATTTCTTTTCCTTCCAAAAATGATCTGCAAGTCTCCTGCGCAACCACATTTCAGTTGCTTCTATTTTACTCTAGATGTTTTTGGTGATTGTCCAGCATTGACAGCCATACAAAAAGGTTCAATTATCCATTAAAACTGAAATTTTGCACAAATTGCAGACTGAAAGGTGCCCTGAAAATGTAACTCAATTGCAGTGCAAAATAATCACAAATCTATAAAAAATATGAAAAAGTAGTGGACCTTTTTAAAATACCTGTCACAGATCATGTTCTCGTCGATTACAGATCATATTTGCAACCTCCGAGCAAAAAGCTTCATTCAATTGGCTGGTATCATGCTGTACCACGGAGAGAACCCACCCCCCACCCCCCAAACCCCCGATTTGAATCCTTGTCTGGGCATTCTTGAACGGCGGTTGTTTTGTGGAGTTTTCAAGGCTCTCACCTCAATTTGGCTCATTCCAGTCGGAGATGGACATTAAATGCCGAAGTGCCGCCTCTTAAATTGCCTAAAGGTTGAAAGGGGCATTAAACTTACGGGTTGATAAACCCATACATTTACTTACATTCTAATCTTTGGAGCAGGAGCTCCTCCACCTTCAATAATGACCTTCCTGTGTCAAGTGGGCCCTGCCTTGTCAAATTGTAGTTTAGTGCAAGTCAGCACGATATTGACTTTGGTGATGACAGAAAAAGATCGGGACAAAAAGTAACCCTGACACCAAACTACAGCAATCCCCCCCCCCCCCACCCCCACCCCCCCTTCATTCTTAGTAAGTTATAATAAATATTTTACGACCTTCACACAATTTAGATCATTCACAAGTCCAGCTGCTTTGACAATTACTACCCAGGCCAACTGTGTCTGAGTGAGATACAGCATCCAAGCAAGCAGATAAAAAAGGGTACTCAAGGGGGGGGAAAAATAACCTCCACACTCAGCAATCAAACTAACGACTACTGGGTGCAAACATAAAGATCGTAACGTTACATCGCAGATACTGGTCTTCCTCAGAGGATCATTTGGCCGCTTTTAAGCACAAGGGAACTATCCCCGAAAATGCTTTTTTGAGAAAATTGAAGGTAAAGTTTTTGCCCCTTGTTCAGTTTCTTTAAAATATAAGGAGAGTTTTCTCTATAACCAATCAAATATATACACATAAATGAAACCAAACTTCTCCTATAGGTATGGCAATGCCCACTTTTGGTCTAAATCAGGATTTCTGGAAACCCCCAAAATCTGGGTTAGCCCGTTGTCCTTTAAAGCGACCAATTCATTTAGACATTACAAATAAACAAGAAAATAAAACTTAACAAACAGTTTGGAGGGAAAGAGAGAAACAACTCCTCCACTGACCTGATGGTGGAGCCTTGTCCATGGGCTATGAGGCGAGCACCAGGCATCAAACCACTTCGAGCCAGACGCTCTTCTGCCTTCACCTGTCAACGAGATAAGATCTTTACGCCTGCAGTGTGCAAAAATTCTACTGTAGCCATGCATTCAAACTGAAAGTGTCCATTTTCCTCAAAGCCTTTTGTGCAAAAATATATACCACAAGACTATTTTGGAGAAGCAAAGCACCATCAGTTAAGACTTGTTCAATTGTTTTAATGAATATCTTGTTTTCATTACTTCAGAAAAAACTAGACTTTCATTTTATATATTATATTTTAGACCAAAAGATAAGAATAATAAATGTCTTTAAACTTTGATCAAAACTGTCATTTCCATGAACATCAGTTTCAAGAGCCAAAAATCAAAAGCCACTACAAAAGGTAAGCTACTTGTGCTTGAAACTGACCTACTTTTATTTATAACTTCTTTTTCTAACATGATCTAAAACTACACATAGTTACTCTAGTAGCTAGTCAGTAAATTTAAAGTTATTGCATTGTTGACATTCAATTTGGAGAGAACACTTTCAGATTGATAGGTAAACAGTTAAAACTAAAGGCAGGGTGAGTGAGAGAGGGGTCTTTCCGTGATTTCAAACTTTTGTCACACTAACCCTATACCAATAAAGATGATAAAATTCCTTTTAATACTTTTTTTTATATTTTTAATTTTACTTCAATCTGAATTTGAGATTCGGTATCAAGCTCCTTTCTGTGCCAGAAAGTCAATTATTGAATTAGAACAAAAGCTGGAATTTTAAAAAACCAGCAGACCACACACAACCACCCACACAGAAAGCCTGTTTCCACCTTACATTATCTAGTGCAATATATCGTAATATATTATGCAAGTCTGAAACCATGGGAAGACTAATTTCCACCTGTATAGCAAAAGCATACATACTGCCATTGTACATAAGAAAAAAAGACGAGAGACCAAGTTATCACGACACCATGTCATTTGTCCGGTAAGTTATATGAAGCAAAGAAGTGTGAGATTAGCCTGTAAGTTTCTTTCTTTGTTGCAGCTTTATTATGCTAACAAATCTAAAAATCTATTCATGAAAATACTTTTCAAAATGTGAGAGTACTAGTACTAATTCGTTGCCCAAGAAGGATTGTCGAGGTTGAAATTGATCTTCTAAGGGACTTGCAAGAAGTAAAATTCAGCTCTTGTGTAAAATCAATATCTCTTGCATGAAGGAATCCATCTTCGCTTAAACCCATGAAGCTGTACATAAAAAAAGAACTGCGGAGCTTTTTCAGACTAGTTGCTAATGCTCTGAGCCTGAGTAGACCAAACCAGTACAACATGATTTGAACAACATGAAAATAACGTTTAACAAATCAGTCATTCCTTAGTTACTCATTATAATCACTTCTCCTGAAATAAAATTTGAACTCAAATATAAACCCATTCATGAACCCCATACTGTTTCTTAAGAGTAGAAATCAAATATTCTGCAACAAAGAAATAAACTAAAGAAGCATCATAGGTGAGACCAGTCGACCAATTGTTCATACATTGCCAGTGCAGAAAGTAGTAAAAGCAAAGTTCAAGAACTGGGTATTTAATTTCAAACAACTCTCTGGTTTGTAACCTTTCAAATTTTAGCACAGGGACCTCATTTGTAAGTATTTTTTAGAATACTTTTAAAACGCTTTCATTTCCATTGAATAATTTTCATTTTCAGACTGCTGGAAAAGCACCATAGATATCAAATCAACACAATCAAACCTGACAAATGGTCTCACCTATAATACAGAAACAACAAAGATACATTATATCAGACATCCTATGCTGATGACTTTGCTATAATCATCTTTGTGACAACTCAAAAACAAAAAAAGAAAAAAAAATTCATAATGTGCATTACGTTTAGAAGTCCATTCTTTTCCATGAGAAATTGTAACCCAGACTGCGAAAGAAGAAAAAAAAAGAGCATTGCTGCTGATGAGAATTGCCAATCATAAATGAGCACAAATAATTAAGTGAGAAAAGGCATAACAAATCATGAATGGGGAAAATGGTGATGAAATTATATCACAATACTAAAAAACATTATTCACAGTACTTTTAAATATAAAATTACAGTATTACACAGCAAAGACATCAAATAAGGAAACAATTAAATATAATTCTACCTACAACACAATTATCACAGAACTAAGAAAACATATTTTGCACAAAATTCAACACTATACAAAAACATCTCCACATCTGGACTCTTAAAAATAGTAAAATGAATTTTTATAGAGACAAGGGTAAAAAAAATGATAGTATACAATAAAAAATCCTTCAACTTCAAAACGAAACCTCTTGCATCATAAAAGCCAACAACTGGCGCATTCATTGCATGTTATTTTATTTTTTTTTGTGGGGAAGGGGAGCTAAAATCGTAACTTAAAATTCTCTTCAAGTGCCCCACCCACCTGTATGACAGTGGAAAGGTCAGTCTGCGAGGACTGGTCTTTTACTGTGACCCTGTTCTTGCAGCCACCACAACAACCGGAGTTGGACAGGTGACCGCTGGAAGAGACGGGCGGCATGTTGTTTACCATGTTCACATTGCTGCCGCCGGCGTTGATATGCACATTGTTCGGCAGCAGCGACGCCCCGTTATGAGTCTGCTGCTGCTGCTGCTGCTGAGTCTGCTGCTGCTGCTGCTGCTGTTGATGTTGTTGGCCTGAGCTGGCAATACTGTTCGAGTTCGTGAGCTCATTGGAGGAGGGCACGCCCACCACGTTGACGTTCCCCTGGGCGTGCATGGCCATTCCGCCAGCAACCGCCATGCTTAAGCCTCCCCCGTCCACGATGCTCACGCCTCCCCCAGCTGAAGGGAGATTCATGCTCACGCCGGGAACAAGGTTTAACGCTGTGCTCCCAGGAAAAGTTACGAGGCTGTTGCCAGGGGCAACCAGCCCGGCTGGGTTTGACCCAGCCACAGAGCTCATACCCATCCGAGCGCTGAGCGAGGCGAGGGCGTTGCTAGTGAATGTTAAACTGTTGGGGTCTGTGTTGCTCCCCGAGAGGCCCATGGCCACGGCCAGGCTACCGATCGACATGGCGGTACCGGGGATCTGGATATGCTGAGCCTGGGCGGGAATGCTCCCTGGCTGCTGACCTTGCTGCTGTGAACCCGAACCGTCACCAGCTGTGCAAGGTACCGAGATTGTGCCGGAGACTGCACCCGAACTTATCGCTGTGTTTACTGATGGGTCAATGCCAGAGGTTACAGGGAGTGCCATACCCACTGAACCAAGGCTCATGGCGTTGATGGCACCGTCCCCTGAGTTAATCGTTCCTCCGCCTTCAGTCGGAGTGCTGGGCTCCATTCCAGCCGATTCTCGTCATGGAAAGAGCTTTTTACTGCACTTGTATCAAAACCTAAATTCAATATAAAAAATAAAAATTTAGTTTATTACCTTCAATTATTAAATATGCATGACAAAAATATTCACTCAAATAGGCATGCAGCTTATAAATCCCTTTCTGATTCACATTATTTGACTGCAGCTTACTGGTGCGCACATTCATTTTCACAAAGCAAACTCTGACACACTTTCCTCTCCACAAATGAAAGCGCGCGTGTGTGTGTGTGAGTGTGTGTGTGTGTGAGTGTATGTGAGAGTGTGTATGTGTGTATGTGTGTGTGTGTGTGTGTGTGTGTATGTGTGTGTGTGTTTGTGTGTGTGTATGCAAGTGTGTGTGTGTGTGTAAGCTTTGCCGCTTGGCGCACGATGGGCTAGGCCTACGACACTAGATCTAGGTTTCATCGCGGATTGCTCGGGCTGTGTGTGTGCGTGCGTGTGTGTGTGTGTGTGTGTGTGTACGTGTGCACGTGCTTGTGTGTTTGTGTGCGCACGCTTGTGTGTGTGTGTTTGTGTGTGTGCGCGCAGTGCAGGTAAGTTTGAGTGCCGGCGCACGCTGTTGTGTGTGTGTGGGTGGGTGTAAAAATTTGAGACGGTAAATTTATGGAACGAAAATTGCTGAGATTGTTTATAAAAATAACACAAATTAATACAAAAAAACAAACACGGCGAGTTCTAGTCAACACATGAAGCTATAGCGAGCCCCTCGCACACCTCTGTGATTGGCCTAGATGACATGTTTCCGCCATCTATTTTTGTCGTCTTCCGGGGCTTCCCCCAAGACTCTTGGGTAACTGTTGACTAAATCTCGCCGTCTTTGGTTTTTTGTTGTATTAATTTGTGTCATCTTTTATAAACACATATTAATTTGTGTTATATTTTATAAACAATCTCAGCAATTCTCGTTTCATAAATTTACCTTCTCCTCAAAGTTGTGCACACACACAAGTACAAGCGAGTGCTCGCCCACACACACATGCGCGCGCGCGCAATGCAGGTCCGCTACGGTGAGAACAGAGACAGTGTACGTTTATGTACATTGTCTCTGGTGAGATCTAGTCAACTGGCAAGGGAAACCCCAGAAGATGACAAAATACATGGTGGAAATATGTCATCTATATTTGGGCCAATCACAGAGATGTGCTAGGTGCTCGCTGCATCTTCATGTCTAGTCAACAGTTACTGGCGAGGGAAACCCAAGAGTCTTGGGGGAACCCCGGAAGACGACAAAAATAGATGGCAGAATACGTCATCTATATTTGGGCCAATCACAGAGGTGTGCTAGGTGCTCACTGCAGCCGCATGTAAGAATAACAAACAGCAGCACAATGCTGACGAGTGGCAGGTGATGAACTGACTGCATGACTACCCACCGCTGTCCTCAGTCCAGGCCAGACAAGTCATTAAATCAACCTATGATAGAGATCTAGGCCTACCACTACCACCTATTTATGACTCCTTTTGACTAGGCACGAGATCTAGAATCTAGCTTAGACTTGGCCTTTAGGCACAGATCTACTACTTTTAGGCTAAAATTAGGCAGGTCAACAATAACTTGCTTGCCTTGCTATCGCTAGAGTCTACAAGAGAAAATGAAAACAAACCTCAAAAGTAAACCAGAAAAAAAACGTGTTGGATATATCTAGATGGTGTCGGGCAGCCATATTTTACTAAAGGCCAAGATCAGGACCAACGTCTCGGTCTAGACCTAGAAGATTCATTTCTAATAGACGTGCACTAAAAAGACGCGGCCCAATCCAAATCAAATTTCAAGTCTTGGGCCAGGGTAGACTGCACAGTCCTGCACAAATATATCTGTGATTACCAAAACAAAGCACTCTGCAACCATACCTGCCCTTCAACAAAGTCTACCAAAAGTACATGGATCAATACCTCTAATCCCATTGTAGGCAGTAATAAGGGGGCGTGGAATCTAAAAGTTTAAATAAATCATCAGATCCGAAACAGCGGGGTGTCCGCCATGTTCTTTCGTGTCGGAACTACTTTTTCAGATGCCGGAAGTTCTCAACTTTATTGCCGAAAATAACCCTGCTCACCTCGAGAGTGACAAAGGACATTTTTTATTAAAATTGAATATAACATTGATTGAGGAACATAGTACTTAGTTTCTAATCAAAATAAGATCCATGCCACATCTAGTTTAAAATTTTCATACTAAATAACATTCCCACACAAGCACGTATGTAATGCCTCTATTGCTTTTAGTCCATTGTTGTTATGATCCATTGGTTATTGTAAACCATTGCTTATCAACCTTTTTATAACCAGCACCCACTTTCATCACTTTATGCGGCTAAAATATTCATACAACCCTATTACGTGTATTTATAAGTGGTGCATTAAATAACACCTATCACTACTACCCGAGTGATCCCCACCAGCCACAAAAATTGCGTCGCCTTTACTGCTTGTAAACCCTTCCAACGGCTTTTTTTCCTCGTGGAGTTAAAAAGGTGGGGTAGGGGTATTTTTTTAAAAATATAATGGATGGTTTTAAATTGAAAGGACACCAGTAATCCATCCTAATGGCTCAAATGTTTTTGGTGCCCATTTTATTCAGTTTCAACAACCCTTGCAAATCTGACAGAGATGGGTGAATGAAATATTGTGTCCGTCGCCTTTTCTGAACTGCAAATGAAATTTACGATAACAGCTAGATTCTAGAGACCGAGAAAGGTGAACAAAATAAAACTTGGTCGATTTTCTCTTTCATGTTTCTTTTCTTTTACCGTTTCATCCTAGTTTGCTAGTTCCTGAAAGTGATAGAGCTATTTTTTGTGATCTCTTCAATTTTGGCAGGGAATAATGCTTAGTTTTGGTCTGACGCCCCTTTCACCACACCTATAAGTAAGCCTACGCTGTTAGGGGAATGGCGGATAATAATCGAGCGGCAAAATGCATACAATTATTGTCACTCACTACATCACATTACTGTATTGTTTTTACATAAACTACAGTGAGGCTGACGGTCGAGTTCATTTTGGTCACCTGTCTGTTAGATTCTATGTCTGTTTCACAACAGTTTTTGTTTTGTTTTGTTGTTGTTGTTTTTTTGGGGGGGTTGTTTTTTGTGAGGGGGTTTTGTTTTGGGGTTGTTCGGTTGTTGTTTTTGTGTTGTTGTTTTTTTTGGGGGGGGGGTCCTCTAGGGGCCGGTGGAGGTTGTTTTTTTAGGGTGCGGGGGGGGGGGTCCTTAGATGACAGAAATTATTGGATCACGCCAAGCCCCCAGTAACTAGATCTACCTGTTTGTTTATTTGAGTAAAAAGAAGCACCTCGACACGATTTTAATGGTAATCTAGCGCTGGTAAGACAGACTGACATAAAACAACAGAGGGACAGTAAAGAGAATTTTAAGAAAACCTACAATAGGCGCCCTCCAACTGCCCGTGTAACTGCCTGTAGCATAAATGACAAGACAAAGGGTCCATAATGAAAGATTCGATCTAACAAACAAGTATGTGCAGCCTACTGATTTGCATTTGAATTTCAATATAATATACCTGTTCATTGTAATACATGTAACGGGTAATGGCGAGCTAGATCTATATGAGTAAGGTTGTTGTTTTTTGGTATAAGTAGAAGTGTCTTTTTTCGATTATTTTTTTTTAAAAATTGGGGGGGGGGGCTAAATTAAAATAAATTGTTCTCGATTGTGCATTGTTTGCAATACTTTTTTCCTTAAATTGATGTAATGCTCATTTAGCATCTTATCGAGATGATATTGAGCAATATAAATACAATTTATTATAATTTGATTTATTATTTCCTACTTAAACCCATACGCAAAATAAAGACAGGGCTGAAAAACTAAAGCTACTTGGGGGTGTTGCGGCGTCATAATAATTATAAACTGCTTGCTTATAAATTTCTTTTACTTTTACTTTTCTTTCTTTACAGTTATTATTGATTATGATTCTAGCTACACATGTACGTGGCACCTCGCAAAGTCTTTTCGTGTCAGTTTTAGTTTTCGTTGATCTAGGAGTTTTACGGCACTTGCAACAAAATAATTAAGCTTAGATGAATTAGGTCATAGCAAGATCCAAGATTGGAGGTGCTACCGTTGCTAGACGAGAGTAACATTCAAAGTCAAAGAAAAGGAGGAGAGAAATAGACAATATATGTTTGAGTTTAATAGGAAAGAAGGAGCAAAGCACACCAGAGCACCCGCCAATCGGTTATACTATAAATTTAATGTCCTTTCTTGTTGTGTATTATAAGTAAGTGCACCCGACCTCAGTGACAGAACTGCCATTGTAAAGGACCACAGCAAATTTCTCCCTGATAGATGAATGAAGATTTAGTCCCAGATTTGTTAGGTACGTAAAGGGGAGACCAGGGGCTCTCGTGGCCTAAAGGTTAAGGTGTTTGCCTCTCATTCAAAGGTCCTGGGGTTGAATCTGGATAAGACCGAAAAATCTCCTTCTCTAAAATTGCCCCCTTTCACCTTCTCCCCTTCTCACTTGCAATATTCTGTCGTCTGCTTTTGTCCCCACTTTCTTCCTCCACCTCCTCACCTCCTTTGCCCCATCCACTGGGCTCCTGACTCTTTCTGCAGCCTTTCTACTGCTACTCCTTGGCTTCTTCTTACAGCTGTCTTTCAGCCGCACCCCCGATCTTCCGGTAGGAAAGATCTGCACCTAGCCTCCTCCCCCCCCCCCCCCCCCAACTCTATCTATCCATAAATAAATGAAAATAACCAAATAAGCAGTTGAAACCGTTATGGTTACACGCAATGAACACAGAGTAATCAACTTAGCGGTCCCTTCTCGTTTATCCAATCACTGTTGTCACCGCTTACAACTATAGTAACCTAACACTAACAGCCAATCAAATGTCTTTAGGGCCCAGAAAAGACAAGCCCGTTCCCACGCTCCCTCCATAATGAAACCCGTCTTGTAAAAAAAAAAGTAGTAGAAGACATGAAAAAAAATAACACTGCACAGAGGGCTCACGCTCTCCTAGCCCTGACAATGGGGTGAAGTTTATGACACACTTTCCCCCAGTGACACAGATACGTATGCGTTCATTGGACCTTTGTTGTCCGCAGTACTTTCCGCGACTACACAGCCTAATCCAGCTAATAGACGGTATATATTTGGATTGCTTTGTGTGCATGTTTGTGTGTGTGCCGCTGAGATTTAACAGTTATTAATTACATCAAACCACTTTTGAGGCAACTTTTTCATTAGATGAAAATTAATTAGAGAAATTTGGAGGTGAAACGGCTTCGTCCCCACCACCCAGAAGAATTTAAACAAAGAGATGGAAGACAAAGGTGACTAGCCTCGTTTGAATGCTTCTCAAAATGCCATGGCTCGCCGTGAGTATAGAAAAATTTTCACTGTTTTGTATTGCTTGCTATTTGGTGGTAAAGAAGTGGAAGCAACCTAAGCCCCACCCAAATTTGGATCCACCCACTGCCACAGAGTAAGTGTTCAGTGACCTCACTGCAACAGCAAGCACCAACATCAGTAAAAACAGCAGGTACTAACCCCCCACCCTGAAGATTTATATGTAGATCTACATAATATCACAAAATTTTAGTTTTACGGCACTTGCAACACAATAAGGCCATATAAAGTGCTGAAGATTAGAGGTGTTACAAGAGTAATAAACACAAAAAAGGAGGGGAGATAGAGGCGATAGACTTTTTTATAGGAAAGAAGGCACCTGCCTACCACCCACTGACGTTTAACAAAGGTAGCATAGCAAAAGACAAAACAAACAATTCAACAACATTTAACGAAAGTAGCAAATGACTTTTTTTTAAAAACACTCTTCCTAATTTGGGACATTGTAATTTTTTATTTGCAGCACAAGAATTTCAGGTCACATGAAACAAAACAAAAACAGAACCATGTATGCTTGAAGGAAACAAAGGCATTATATTATTTATACAGTCTGTCGAGCAATACATTTAGAGATCTGTTGCGGCTTTTATTTCCAGTGGTTTCATTGCATGATTTGATCAACAGTCCACACATATGTTCAAAGCATTTCAACAGCATCTCAACACAACTGATAATGTGGCGAGTGCAGCGGGTACAAACGCCTCAAGAGATATGAACACAGTGGTTGTGGAGCCAGAATGACAAACCAGAAATGAAAAAGAAGTGATTTTGTTATATATTTGTCACATTTAAAATTCTAAAGAACCTCAGCTCTCTCAAAGAAATTGAACTATTGTTCCAAAAAAGAAACAAAAAAACTATCCCATCCCACCCAATGCAAAATACAAAAAAATTGTAAAAATTCAATAAATCAGTTCTTAGGAAAATGAAATATCGTCTGTGAAGTTCTCTATCTACTTAAGTCAGGAGGCCTTTTTTTTTACCCTACTTTCCTTAGAAAGGGATCCTTTACGATACTTCATCATGTACATGAAAACCATCAATCTTTTAAAGATAGATTTAGTGTTGCAACCATGCAATCTGCCAGAATTTTAATAATTTAGGTGAAGAAAAACATAGGTTCTGCCGCCAATTTTTATTCTCCTGACTTACGCATTTAGAGCATAACCTAGACAATATACTTATCAAGACTTTATGTCAAGGAAGGACAGCTGTGAGTTTCAGAGTATGTATATATATATATATAGATGTACTTGTGGACAGTTTGCAAAGCACAACCTCTGAGGAGGAAAATCAAGATTCCACTCGATCATAAAGAAATTTGTATGGATGGAATGCTACGTAGATGTCCAGCGAGATTTTCAACCAGAGCTTGTCTCTCACTCAACTCACAGAAGAACACCACTGTTTTACTGCAAGGCTTTTAACTCTTTCACTACTGCGAACCGTGTTTCACAGCTCGCCACTTCCTGCTTCAAAACCAGTCATATTTTTGTAACAATCGAAAGTGAAACCTCAGGCTGAAATGCGATCATTTTTAGCAACATGATGTGATTATAGGTTATTATTTCCCCGCTATTGTCACACATGATACATGAGGATATTATTGAAAATTGGAC